GGCGTACTCCTCTGGTACGCTGGGCGTACTCCTCCTGACATTGACCACCATCGGGGTGGTTGACTCAGTACGCTGGGCGTACAGAACTTCAGCTGAGCGTACATGGGGTTTTGCCAAAACCCTAATAAGTGCTTAATGGCTTAAGCACTTAAGCCCATATTTCAGATCCATCGACCAAAAGTGTCTTAGAGCCATAAAGTCTTGAACTTTATTACTTTGGACGTCCAGGAAGCTCTTAATCCAGGGTCTTAATCCATTAAGACCTTTCTACTTCATGCATGTGACAACTTAAGCTATTGGGACCTCATTTTTATCACTTAGGACCTCTTCAAGGGTCTGAAAGGACAACTTATCTTGTCCAAATCGCATCATGCATCAATTTGGGGACTTTTGGGACAAGAATGGTTCATAAGGCTAGAATAGCTAGATCTATATCATGCAAGCATAAAGTTTGAAGCTTTTTTACCTTCTGGAGCTTCTAGGGCACCAAACAACTTCAGATCTACAAGCTTGATCTCCTTCTCCAACACCTTGATGCAACACCTTCTTCTTCTACTACTCAAAATACACTCTATAAGCTCACACACTCAAGGAAATGATTAGGGTTTGGGGAAAACGGCTCTAAATAGTGGAGGCTGAGGTAAGGGAGAGTTATGAGCTCATAAGGTTGTTTATATAGTACTCAAACCCTAAATATTAGGGTTTCCACCTGACGTGAGTACGCCCGGTGTACACAAGTGTACGTCCAGCTTTACTAGGGCGTGCCCTAGTACGCTCAGCGTACCCTTATGTACGCTTAGCGTACTCTCATGATCCCAAAGTTGCAACTTTGGCCCTTATACTTCTCATGGGTTGACTCTTCTAACCCCCAGGGACTAAAATGACAGAGTAATAATAGAAGAGAGGATTTGGAAATACCTGCAAAATCTCAGGATGTTACAATACCAATTTGCATCATATTGCTCGTCACATAGTACCTGCGATCAGTTAGAAAAATTTAGGTCCCCAAGACCTTTTGGGTCCTTGGATATTAGTTTGAAACACATTGTTCAATGAAGAACCTAAGACCCAATTATGAACTTTCAATTTGAAACTGTCAATTAAGCCAATTTCACTGGCTTTAGGCATCGAAATATAATCATGCAATGGGGAAGGTTCAACATTGATTTTCATTTTCTCATCCTTTTTATGAGAAGCATCAATTTTATTCTTTGGAAATATATTCCACTTTCGCACCGTTGGTGTAGACTCTTGAGATGAAGTACTTTCATTCATCGAATCATTCAAGTACTTCTTGTAAGCATTTTGTATTTGCTCTTGAGAATACTTTCATGGTTGGTATTATTTTCCTTTTCCTTCAAGCCAATGATTGATGTTCTTAACATCATTTCTACCTTTTGTGAATGAATCTTTCATCTTCTGTGTCGAATCAGGAGTTGGAAAATTTGGGTTTTTAGGTTAAAAAGGCTCACTCTTCCTTCCTTTAAATTCCAATATATCAAACTGTCTTTTGGGAAATGATATTTATGGATGATTTTGGAAACGATTTTGATATCGGTTTTGATAACCAACACCATTTTGTTGAAAAACTTTTTGATTTTGATCAAAAATTCTTTGTCCATGACTTTGAGTAAACTTCCCTTGTCCATGACTTCACCAAAACTCCTTTGTTCATGATTTTGAGCAAAACTCCTTTGTCCATGATTTTTACCAAAACTCCTTTGTCCATTATTTTGAACAAAACTCATGTGTCCATGATTTTGACCAAAATTCCTTTGTTTATGATTTTGAACATTTCTTTGTAAACCATTTTGTCGAACATGATTTTGGACATAGTTTTGACTCTTTTGAAAATCATTTTGTTTTTGAAATTATTTATTTTGAAAATTCTTTGCATTTTGTGAAACGTCTTGTCAGTTTCAAAAGATTTTTGTTTAAAAACCTTTTGTTTGTGAAAAGCTTTTTCATCTTTCCAATAGGCTTTATTTTGTGCTTTTGATTTCGAAATTCCTTCATCACATGCCAATTTTTCAACTCTTCCTTTGAAAGTTTGTGTTTTCACCTTTTGGTGTTTTGGATAATTAGGTAAAGAATCAACACCTTTTTCCTTGTTTTTGTTATCACCAACTGATTTTTCTGTTTTCACATCCCAAACACGTTTTGTTTTATTTTGTTGTTGAAAAGTTTTTGAATTTTTGTTCAAACCATTTTTGATTGTGTTTTATTCGAATAAAATCCTTCTTTCGTCACACTCTCATTGTCTTCATTTACCAACTTTTTCAATTCAGGAGTTACTTTATCATCATTTCATTTGGTAACAAAGACTTGATTTGGAAACACAACATTTTATGTATCCTTGAACCTAGGATATATCACTATATTTTATTCAAGATAATGTTTTCCTTTTTCTTTCAACACTTTCGTGTACTCCTCTAAATCTTCTAAGACTTGATCTACAACAACTCTTGGAATTGTTTTCTCATTCGAAACTTCATCCTCATCACTCACATAGTCCTCAAACACAACATGATAATGAGAATCACACGCTTTGGATGTCGAAGGTTGATCATTGTTTACTTTCGACTTTGAATCATTACATTCTTTTCCTTTAGCCATTAAATTGACATTAATGACAGACAATCATGAGTAATCAACACATTCCTCTGCCTTGATTTCCCTGATATTGTCATAATTATCTTCGATATCAGAAAATTTTTGTTGAGAACCAAGTTTCGACTTCTCAGTCATGTTCAAAATCTTGACTTGTTCATTTTTGGTTAAGGTATCATTCACAATATTCATAAAGATCTCAGCGTTCAGACATTCATTTATATTTACAATATCATATTCATATGAATCATTTGGAATTTTATCATATTCAGCTATATTTTCATCAATTTGTTCTCTTTTATACGAAAGAAAATGAAGCAATTTCCAATGATGTTCATCGCATATGTCAGCTGAATGATAAAATATTGTTAGTTTACCATACACACATTTAGCAGAATCACAATATATGTTCCTTTGTTTAACAAGCATCGAATTGTCCATTCTAAGTGAGTCTTTATCTATTAATAGATTTGTTATTCTAAGATCAAGATATTTCACTATTCCATTCTTTTCTTCGAGTCTATTTCTAGCTTCATATAATTGGGATTTTGACTTTTCTACTTCACTACTCATGGAGATTAACATGTCATTAAGATAAGCACACGTATTCTCAAATTCAGACAAAACATCACTATAAGAAGATGAAGGAATATTAAATGAGTTAAGAAGATCATGTACCTTTGCAATCATAGGTGATTTAGTCGAGTCTGTGGACACGAAACACCTTCCAGTAATCTCATCTTCTTCATCATTCTCATTCGAAACATCTTTCTCTCTTCATCCTCTTCCAGTTTAGCATACATTGCCCCATGAGTCGGATAGCGCACCCTATCATCATCCGATCCAGAAGACCAGATTTGATTTGTGCCCTCTTCTTCGTCATCTCCTCTAGCAATCAAAGAAACATCCTTTGTTCGAGATCGAATCTCCTCAAGCTTCTCATCATAGTAAGCCTCGTCCTTAACTCTCTCTTTCTTTTCTTCTTTCTTCCTAAGCATGGAATCCTTTGCCAAATGGTCCGACCCATTGCAATAGTTACAGTCGAAACCAGAGTCTCCTTTTAGTTTCAACTCCTTCTTTTTCTCATAAGAACCCTTGATATCCTTCTTCTCTGCTTTCGAATAATCCTTCACACTTTTCCAGATGAACTGTTTCCTTTAACCTAATTGCTATTCTTGAACTTTAGATTAAAAGGTTTCTTAAACAATTTCTTTACTTTGTTGTTCAAGTAGTATGCGACAGCTTCATCATCAGAGTTAAACAAGAAACCTTCTTCACCATTTTTGGCTTCTTCATCTGATTCGACTTCAGATTCCTTTATAGTAACTTTTGACACCAAATCCAAAGGCTCTCCTAGATTCATTTTACTTTCTTCAGCAATGTCATTGATCTCACTTCCATGTGTTTTCAAGACATTGTACAGATTTGCAAGAGAATAACCATCAAAGCTTTCTTGTATCTTGATCATCAAACTGGTATTTCTCCATTCCTTTCTTACATCCATGAGAAATGTGAGATTGAACTCTAGTGACGAACGTGTCACTCCAAAGCAAGAACACTTGAAGATCAATTTATTCAATCGATCATAGTATGATTCGATTGATTCTGTTTCCTTTTGCTTGAATTCCCCCAACTCTAGCAAGCATTGTTTGACCGAACTCTTCTTTGTGTTCTCATTTCCATGATATTTCTCCTTTCAGTTTATCCCAAATTTCCTTTGCAGTTTTACAACCTCAAACGTAATTGTAGACTACTGGTTGAAGAGCACAATGTAATTCACGCATACATTTCTTATCGTTTTACTTCATGTTGGATCATCTTGTGATCATGTCATCAGAACTTGCAGACGTACCAATATCGACTAACATCGCCTGAAAAAATTCTCCTCTTTTGATGGATTTCATCAGATCTTCATCAATCTCATTCAGATAATCCTTCATCCTGTCATCCCATTGCTCATAATATTCCGGAATCAACATTGGAATCTTTGTTGATGATCCGAGCAAGGGAGAGAAATTAGACATCATGTTCATATTGAAATTCACCATTGTTGTATGGATTTCGAAGAGAGAGAAATTTTTATTCAAATAGAAATCTAAGAAGGAAATCAATTAGATATTGATCATAAATCGTTTACGGTTCATGAATTTATGTTCATGTTCGTTTATTTATTAAATAAACAAACATAAACGAACTTCCCGCCAAACATTTCATGAATAGTTCGACGAACGTTCAATTCGTTTACGGTTCATTTATAGTGATATCCCGAAATCACTCTTACCCTTTTGAATTAACGAGCGGAATGATACCCCGAAATATTCCATCCATGAAATTGTTCCACCGTGTTCATCTCAAAATTCCCAATTCCCTTATCCTTTCCCACTGATCAAATGAATTTACTCTGCAAATCCATCGAAACCCTCACTCTCAGTCTCAATTCCCCACCTCCTCCTCTTTCCCCTCGTTCTCACCAGCTTCCTTTCAAATTCACCACCACCACCACTTTCCGCCAATGTCGCCGCTCAGTTACACCCTCTTCCGCCTCCGACCACCCAGCTTCCCCCGCTTCCATGTCCGAAATCGACATGGTCCAGACAAAGGAAGGAGTCTTCGCCGCCAAACCTAAAAAAGTCGTAATCTTGTGGGACCTCGACAACAAGCCCCCGCGAGGCCCTCCTTACGATGCGGCCATGGCTCTCAAAAACATTGCCAATCATTTCGGTGAACTCGTTGACGTCTCCGCCTACGCTAACCGCCACGCCTTCATCCACCTCCCACACTGGGTCGTCGAGCAACGCCGTGATCAACGCCGTCTCGACATCCTTGAGCGTAAGGGCGTCGCTACCCCTTCCGAACCCTATCTCTGCGGCGTCTGCGGCCGCAAATGTAAAACAAATCTAGACCTAAAGAAACACTTCAAACAATTACACATGAGAGAAAGAGAAAAGAAGATGAACAGAATGAAATCCTTGAAGGGAAAGAAACGACAGCGGTTCAAGGAGAGGTTTATCACCGGAAATCACAAGTACACGGAGGCTGCTAGAACCCTAGTTACGCCCAAAACTGGGTATGGATTGGCAGCGGAGCTTAGAAGGGCGGGGGTTTTTGTGAAGACGGTGGAGGATAAGCCTCAGGCGGCGGATTGGGCATTGAAGAGACAAATGCAACATTCCATGAGTCGAGGAATTGACTGGTTAGTGTTGGTTTCCGATGATTCTGATTTCTCTGAGATGTTAAGAAGAGCTAAAGCTTCAAATTTGGGGACGGTGGTTGTTGGTGATTGGGACAGAGCATTGGGGAGGCAAGCGGATTTGTGGGTTCCATGGAATAGGGTCGAGAATGGGGAGATTACAGAAGAGGATTTGGTTCTAAGAACCAGAAGTGATGAATTTTTGGATGATGTCGACAATGGTGTGTTTGTTTCCAGTTTTGATGGGGATATGGATGAAAATATCGGACCTTTAGATGGTATTTTAGATGAATTAGTGGCAAAAAGGAGTGGATTCAATCAGTCAAAGATTTCAGCTTTTTCTGAAGGAGAAGATGAAGATGAAGATGAAGAAGATGATTACTTATCAGATAGTGATGATGAAGCTGAATATTGGTACACCTGAACATGAAATTACTTAATAACATCTCACAGATTTATGGTTATTGAGAGCTATGGATCATGTTGTCATATTGTTGTGAAGAAAAGAAGTTAATCATGTTGATAGAATTCAAGGATTTGTTCACATTGAACATAAAGAAAGCTGCTTTTCATACCAGTATGAGTCTCTTAAAAACTCCATATTCTATCCCCCCCCCCCTCTGTAATTTTTGATAGCATCTAGATTTATTATGCCCATTACATTTTCCTGAATATACATGCTGTTTTTATTTAAACATCTCGACTTAAATGGACTAATGGAGATATGGACATATGGTTGAAGATTGTGTAATTGAGGTCAAGTGTATAAAAAAAGTTCAACAAGTTGATGTGCATATATGAAGACATAGGGAATGCTGAAAGTCTCTTAAATAAATCCACCCATTGTCATAAAGAGTATCAATATGTTGTCTTAGCTTATGAGAAAAAATACGTGTAGATAGTAAATTAAAATAGAAATTGATGGGACATTTTTGTGAATTTGTTGTTCAGAGTTGCTCTCAGGTTTCCAAATGATTTTTCTGCATCAATAAGATTATTAAGGACAATATTTGAGAAATGTGCAAATAAGCATATGGCCCTGTTTTTATTTATTTATTTCCATTAAGATAAATGATTTTTAAACAATATTTGAGAAAAGTACGTTACAGTTGGGGAGATGGAAGGAAGATATAATTGTAGGCAAAACCGATTAATATTGTCAAAACTGAAGAATATTGTCAAAACTGATGAATATTGTCAAAAGCCGATTGAATGTTTATGAAATTTGTTTTTGTTTTTTTTTTGTTTTTGATATATAAGGATAAAATAGTTATTTAATATCATTAATGTGGTTTATTAGGTCTAGAAATGAACATACCTTATGCATAAAGTCCATACAATCATCACTTCCCATTTAGTCATTTGTTCGTGTTCGGTTGGAAGAACTTTTATGAGCTTTTAGAATTTAAGGAAAAGCTCGAATCAAAAAGAAAAAATTTTCATTCGGGAGTACTAGCTTAAAGCTTTTAGTTTAGATAAAAAAAAAACTCCTAATCAAAAAGCTACTGAGCCTGTTTGAGATTCCTTTTAATACAACTTTTTGACTTTTAATTTTTCCAAAAAGTCAAAAAATGTCCAAAATATGGTTGGGTAATGCAAAAGATCTTTTAAAAATAATTTTTTGTGTAGAAAGAAAAGTTGGTTTTTCAAAAGTTACAAAATCCTATTTTTTGTGACTTTTGTAACTTTTAACCTGAAAATTTGGTTTTTACCTTTAAAGCTAATACAAACACATTTTAAATTTTTTTAGAAAAAGTCAACAATCAAAAAATCATTTTACAAAAAGAACTTTTAACTTTAAAAAGTAATCTCAAACACCCTCTAAAATAACTTTTTGGAGCTTTTAGCTTTTAGTTTTTATGTAATTTTATACTTTTAAAAGACAGGCTAGTTTTGCCAAACACATCATTATCAAAAAAATTTAAAGAAACAACTTTAGTGTATTTGGAAGAAATACTGAAATTTTGGTAAAATACAAATACTTTGGCATCGGTATCTCATACGTGCTAAAGGTTAAAAGTGAAAGAGGAGTTAGTTTAGATAAATGGGAAGGGTGTAATCAGTTTATGAAACTCATATAATCTTGTTGAGGACATGGAGCGTTTGTGAAACAAAAGGAGAAGAGACATTTAAGCTAAGCGGTATGGTCATCACCAACCAATTAGAAAAGTGTTGTGCCACATCAGCTCCGCTACATGTTCACTACCAAACCATTAGCCTTTGAAAATTGTTACCACTCCATATTATTTATTTATTTATTTTATCATTATATTAAATAAAAAACATAATTATTAAACATAAAAAATATTTTTTTAATAAAAAGTACATTAAATTAAAAAAAAAAACATAATTTATAAAATTAAATAACATTTATAAATAATGTAGTTACCATTCCATATTATTTATATTTTTTTTACTTAAATTAAATAAACAAAACATAACTTTTAAAAATAAATAAAAAAATTTAATCGTTTTTAAAATTAGATAAACATACACATGTATATACTTCATATTAACAAAACCATTTTAACCGACAAAAATATTAGCCCACTAAAAATATGTCTAGCCCATTTGAATTTAATTAAGCCAATCTTTGTAATTTAAACCCTATTAAGCTCGATGTTGCTCTCCCTCGTTGATGTTGATGGTTCAAGTCTCACTGTGGATATAGGTGAAATAATTTAGGAGTAGTTTAGTATATATTTGTATTTGTCATTAAAAAAAAATCTCTTTTCTTCTTCTTCTTTATGGTTTCTAGAACACCTTTTATTTATGTAATTCTTTTTCCGGCGAGCCTCATTCAAGAATTTCCGGCGCCTTCCTTCGTGAACAACGACCATTTGACCGTTTGGAATAAACGAATCTCATTGGTCATTTGCAAAGCTATTCCCTCATTGGTTGTCTTCGCCCGTGGAGCAGGTCACACCACAACACACCCACGCTCCTCAGGGGCGGTGTTCATGTGTGGTTTTGTCTCCCATACCGGATGAACTTATGATAAAGAAAGAAGAAATCGAAATCAACAAGGAGTTGAAGCGAAAGATCAATTTCCAAGGATGTACTTGTTTACCTTTTCTTTTACTTGCTTAACAAAAATGGAAATATGTATCATGCAATTCTATTATCATAGATTTGCATAGATTTAATTTTATAAAAAAATTTCATGTGTTAACCATAACTATATCGTTGTTATTTTAAATTAGAAATTGAAATAGAAAATTAAGTAAACTGAAAAAAATAAAGACAATTAATCATGGAAATAACATTGTTTTATTTAAAATTAAAAAGTAATGTAATGTAAAAAAAACATAGATGAAATAAACATGATAATATAAAATACAAATAAAAAATGATGAATAAGTATATATTATCAATAATAAATAAAACTTGTCTATATACAAAAATTTATAAACACTTTTTTATATATAACATTCGAAGTTTCATTTTTTAAGTCTACGATTCTTATTTAAAATTAAAAATTTTAATCATTCTCTACTTCAAATGTAACATCCCAAAATTCAAGGCCAAAAATTTCATTTTTAAATAAATTACTACATAACCCATCAGTATAGAAACATTCATATGATATCTCGTGTCAAACCAAAGTGTCAGTAATCAAAACATATTATCATAAAACCATATCAGAGTGTGATCCCAAAGATCTCATGTGCGGAAAACATAGTGTGATGCGCTGCGATCGAGCCAGCTCCTTTCCTTGAAAACAAAGTACCTGAAACCAAAACTGAAAACCGTAAGCACGAAGCTTAGTGAGTTCCCCAGATACCACATACCATACAAACCAACTGATCCATACATGCCATACATAGCCAAGAGCCATACATAACCAACACATCCATAATCAAGTAAGGTGCTATGTGCCAAACATAGTCTTGCTAAGGTGCTATGTGCCAAACATAGTCTTGTTGTATTGCCACGGGCCGCACGTGGTCTTTTCTTGTCAAGCCTGGGGGCCACTCCCTGGGTCTTACAGACAAGTGCCAAGGGCCACCCCCTGGTCTTCCATGCAAGCATCACAAAGACAATTATACATACTACTCTACTAGGCTATTCAGCATACAATGTGCCAGGAGCCACCTCCTGGTCTTTCATTCATAATAGTATACAGTGTGCCAGAAGCCACCTTCTGGTCGTTCATACATGTTGCCTAGCGCTAACCCCCGGGTCTTCCTACCATACATAATAACATACTGTGTGCCAGGAGCCTCCTCCTGGTCTTTCATGCATAATGCCTAGGGCTAACCCCCGGGTCTTCCTTCCATACATAAACTAAATGGGTCGGCATTGTGGCCTGTAGACCCATACAAACAGTGAGGAGACTCACCTCGCACTGCTGAACTTTACTGATAAACCTCTGGCTGCTGTCCGACCACTCCCTGAGCCGCTGCTCCACTAGCTCCCCGAGCTACTAATATCAATAAAACACTTAGTTCCAAACTGAACTCTAGAAGTCAAACTAAGTCAACTCTGGCTAAAGTCAAAGTCCTGGTCTAAGTCAACCTTCTAGTTGACTCGACTCGCCGAGTCAACCCGTAGACTCGCTGAGTCCTTAAACTCAGAAGCTCTCAAGATACGACCCAACTCGCCGAGTCACCCCAGGACTCGTCGAGTTCAACGATCTCTGAGTCTCATCCTGTCCAACTCACTGATTCACCACTCAACTCATTGATGTGCGTCTTAACCAGAAGAGGTTGGGGGGTTCTGCGACCTGACTCGTCGAGTCCAAGAACAGACTCACCGAGTCCTAGGCAATCTTCAACAGACTCGCCGAGTTGTTCTTCCACTCACCGAGCCCATGCACATATTCATACAACTAATCGAGTACACCCATGTGACTCGCCGAGTCTCTCCAGTTCTCAATCCATACATTGGCTTTTCGAGCCATGCAGGGGCTCCAATCCATAGATCCACTCTTCTACAGTCTATTCCCCACGTAAAGTTGCAAACTTTACGTGAAACCAAGGAGCTAAAGGCCCAAAACACTCAAGGGCTAGGGTTTAAGACAAAGGGGCTTCACCAACAACTTATTGACATGAACTTTAAGACATTCTGGACCATTACAACCCTAGATCTGAAGTAGCAACCTCGGATGTAAGCCCCAAACCCGAAATAGACCTCAATCATGCCCAAAATGCCCCAAATCTCAACATAAGATAGATCTATTTGCAATAAAGCCAAAGCAATAGCTTATTACCTCCAATATATGCTCCAACTGAAGTAGATCCCAGATCTACACCACTCCTTTGCAGCAAGTCTCTTGATCTTCAAGCCCCTTTCCACCAAAATCACTTATCTAGGCTCTAAATTGCTTCCAAGGGCTCTCACTCACGATTTAGGGTTTTTGGATCTCAAAAGGGGAGTAAAGAGGCTCGGGAAGGGATGTAATGTTCTTTAAATAGGGCACAA